GGAATTGAGTAAGCAATCTCTGCCACATCCTTTATGAGATCTATCTGTGGATTCCATAAGGTTCAAAAGACTCTGGATCAATAACCTTTGCTTTGGAACAGACACACATTCACACACACACACACCACATCCTAATTGCTACAAAAAACGTGATTAAGAACAGAATTAGGGCCCTAACCGGTTTGGCTCAGTGGATAAAGTGTCAGCCTGCGGACTGAAAGGTCCCAGGGTCGATTCCGGTCAAGGGCATGTACCTTGGTTGTGGGCACATCCCCAGTAGGGGGCGTGCAGGAGGCAGCTGATTGATGTTTCTCTCTCTCCCTCTCCCTTCCTCTCTGTAAAAAAATCAACAAAAATATTAAAAAAAAAAAAAAAGAACAGAATTACCCCTAGCTGGTTTGGCTCAGTGGATAAAGTGTCAGCCTGCGGACTGAAAGGTCCCAGGGTCGATTCCGGTCAAGGGCATGTACCTTGGTTGTGGGCACATCCCCAGTAGGGGGCGTGCAGGAGGCAGCTGATTGATGTTTCTCTCTCTCCCTCTCCCTTCCTCTCTGTAAAAAAATCAACAAAAATATTAAAAAAAAAAAAAAAGAACAGAATTACCCCTAGCTGGTTTGGCTCAGTGGATAGAGCGTCAACCTGGGGACTGAAGGGTACCACGTTTGATTCCAGTCAAGGGCACATGCCCAGGTTATGGGCTCGATCCCCAGTAGGGGTTGTGCAGGATGCAGCCAATCAATGATTCTCTCTCACCATTGATGTTTCTCTCTCTCCCTCTCCCTTCCTCTCTGAAATCAATAAAATTTTTTTAAAAAAAGAACAGAATTAAAGATCATCACAGTCATTCCTTTTGTTCTAGGTATTGCAGGGTTTTTGATAGCCAAAGATGGTACCTATCCAATAGATCTCATTAAAAGGAATAGGAAAAGTCCATTCTGTTGCTCCAATTTTAGCTGCTAGCCCATCAAGTTGTTGTTTTATCTTTCCATTACAATACAATTTACCACAAATCATTCCAAAACAACAAATGTTTCCCCTCAGTTTTTGCTTATGTAAATGTCAGTTGCCATGACAACAACAACAAAAAGATTGTCCTTGATCATATGCAGAGCTTGCTAAGGAACAAGAAGTAACTAGCTGGTACAGTCATAAACCTAATCCCACAGGCATGCCTAACAAGGGAAATGAGAAACTGGGGCAATTTTTTATTCAAAGAAAAAGTGAAAGTAGAGGAAGGACCTGATTCTAGTGGGAGAAAAGATGTGTCCAAAAATTTTAAATAAACCACATCCTCATTACGTTCTTTTTTTGGGGAATGGGATCTGGGTTTCTCCCTTTTCTTGTTATATCGCAAGACTCCTAAAAGGATTTGGGCCCAAGACTCAGGCCAATTCTCTTTACTTCCAACCTACCTTGACATTAGGATGGGTCATGCCCTTCACCATAATGCAGAGAGAGAATGCGCAAGGACCCTGCTCCTGTTGGTTGCCTTCTTGACTTGCTGCCTCTGAGATCTATATTATGAGAGACCTAAATAATAACAGGATGGGTAATTACTTTGAATAGTGTGTAGGATATATTAAGCTACCTTCATTACAATTGGCATTTTAGGTCATGGAATTCAGCTAAAGTTAGAAATTAAAAATAAGATCCAAGTGAATCATCTTCATTGTGGGAATATAGCTCCCTTCTAAGTAATCCAGGCACCTCCCCTTCTATGGAAAAGGAAAAGGGACATGGCCACAGGGAAGCACCTAAACCCTTGAGACTGGGCTTTGAAAAGCATCTCATGTTTCTGCAATGGAAGGACCTTTCTAATTGGGTTTTACTCTGACCAATATTAAAATGAACCTACACTCACTCAGGCAGGGAAGCTCAGTTGGTTAGAGAGTCACTCCTTAATACCAGGGTTGCCAGTTTGATCTCCAGTCAAAGCACATACAAGAATCAATCAATGAATGCATAAATAAGTGGAACAACAAATTGATGTCTCTCTCTCTCTCTCTTCTCCTCTCTCTAAAATCAATAAAATAAATTAAAATGAACCTACACCCTTTGAGCATACACAGGACCAGAGATGCAGGATGGGGAATGGGGAGGAGGGAGCAGCTGAGAGGTAACCAGCTAGGTCCCTGTTACTATCCAGCACTCAGTCCTACTGAGGAAAATATTGATTTAGCAAATATGTATTGTCTATTGCAAGCCAAGTTCTGTGCTGGGCTCTGGAGATGTAATGATGATTAAATCAGATGTAGCTTCTGTCCTACTGGAGCTGATTTTATAGTCTGAGAAGATGGAATGTAATCATCAGAGAAATATATAATTACAGTCTGAGAGGAGTGCTGTGAAGGCAAATGATGTGATGATTTTAAATGGGATCTGGGGCTTCAAGGAAGGTATCTCTAAGGGAGGGACATTTAAACTGGAATCAAGAGATAAGTGAAAGTTGTGGGAGGGAAGGTTCTTAGAATGGGGAAGGCTTGCCCATATGAGAAGCTAAAAGGAAAGCCTGCCAGGAACACGGAGATCTAGATAGATGAAAGAAAGGCCATCACTTCTGTGTAGGCCATCCTCTGGAATGCAGATTATGATCAAGACGAAACCATTAGAAAGCTTGTTTTTTTAAAAATTCATTTCAGAGAGGGAGAGGGAGAGAAACATCGATGATAGAACCATTGATCAGCTGCTTCCTGTACGCCCGCCCTCAGGCATGCAACCCAGACATGTGCCCGACCAGAAACCAACCTAGGAACCTTCATTCCACAGGCTGACCCTCTATCCACTGAGCCAAACCGGTAGGGCCCATTAGAAAGCTTTTTAAGCAAGTAAGTTCCATGATCAAGTCTGCCTCGTGGGAAGATCATCCTGGTTGCTTTGTAATGAGCAGATTGGGGAAAGTGAATAGTGAGGACGGTTATTGTAGAGGTCCACAGGAGAGACGGTAGCTACTTGGGTGGTAGTGGTGAAGGTCTACAAATGTGCAATAGGGAATATTTTGGAGGTGGAGCTGGCGGGACATGGAGATGAATTGGTTGTAGGACAGGGATGTCTATAAATGGGCTGCCAACTTTAACATTAAGCACAATAATCAAAGCTAATGTTTAATGTCAGGTATAATTGGGCAACGAACAGGGACATTCAGTTGAGGTAGCTATAATCCACACCACACTCTTGTCTGCATGTTTCAAGCTGTGGGCTTAGCAAGGGCTGTGTCCACACAGAAGGGGTGCCTTTTTTCTACTGGTTACTCACAAAATGGTGCAGTCTATTCACAAAGCTTTGTGACCTTGACTATAACACTTAAGTTCAGAAAGTCACCAGGGCCCCAGTCAGGGTTATGGATATGGTTTTTGTCCTGATACTCGTAGAATGCAAGATTCACAAAGGCAGAGTCTATTCCACAGGAGCTACCACACAGAACTACTGTAATCTGATCAAAATTGTTAATCATTGAAGCACCCAGATAGCCAACAAAATATGGAGTCAACCACCCCCCTTTAGCGATAATGGATTAAATAACAACTCCTTTCTGTGGCAGTAGGTGTACTTGAATTCATATGATGTCGTCTCAAAAGAAATTACAAAATGAGTGAGGTTAAGACTGCTGTCACCCCAGTGTTGGTAAGCTCTGGACACTGTGGCAACACAGCCAAGGCCGCCAAGACATTGTTAGAACCCCCAGCTATAAAGGGTTCATGGGAATTCAGTTAGGCCTGAAGCCTAGGATCCGCAAAGGAACCGGCACAAAAAGGCAGAGTGCATTACACAAAACACTAGGGTATCCCCAACGTTTCCAACTAGCAGTTATTATACCCTTATGTAGTACCAAATTCATTTTTACTCTCGGAATATACTTCCCAAGCATAAAGGTAAAAGGAGGGACTGGTCTGTGACCTCATCTGTGCTCCACTTTCCTAGTTTCCTGCTGGTACTCAGAACCTTGGAGAAGCCCATATACCCCACCAGCTTGAAATGAGGCTAGAAACTCCATGAAGTTCTAAAGGGAACAGGAAGCTTTGAACCAGTCAACCTCCACATGGCTAATCATTCCTTCCCACTCCCAGAAGACTAAAATGTCTTTACTCTCTCTCATTTGAAGTGGGAAGACAAAGAAGGTCTGCCTAAGCCAGTTAACATTTGAACATCTAGTCCAGCCGAGGGTAAACTACGGCCCGTTTGAAATGAATAAAACTAAAAAAAAAAAAAGACCGTACCCTTTTATGTAATGATGTTTACTTTGAATTTATATTAGTTCACACAAACACTCCATCCATGCTTTTGTTCCGGCCCTCCGGTCCAGTTTAAGAACCCATTGTGGCCCTCGAGTCAAAAAGTTTGCCCACCCCTGATCTAGTCAATATTTGAGTGCCCACTTTGGTAGGGTTCAATTAAGGTCTAAAATCTAAGTAAACCAGGCCAACCACAGAAATATCCCCTTGACCAAAAGCAAGCCTGGCAGCTCATTTATTTCTGCTTGCTTTTGTTCTGTATTCAGAGAAGATCCACAAACACTGCTTTCCTTTCTTTTTGAACCTCACCTCTTTTTTTAAAAAAAAATATTTTTATTGATTTTTAGAGAGGGAGAGGGAAATATCGATTGGCTGCCTCCTGCATGCCCCCCACCACAGATTGAACCTGAAACTCTGGCATGTGCCCTTAACCGGAATCGAACTTGGGACCCTTTAGTCCACAGGCTAACACTATCCACTGAGCCAAACCAGCTAGGGCTGAATCTCACTTCTTGATAACTAGTTCTTTTATGCCCCCTCACCTTATTTCCCCATTTCTTTTTCTTCAGGATATGTGTGGAAGCCAAGCTCCAAACTCTTACCCTCCTCCTGCCAAACTTAGAACTATTTTAATGTTTTCTTTTATGGAGGGGCCTCTTCTCTCTTCATATCTGTAAGAGGAACAGAACTTGATCTGAAGATCTGGGTCACAAAATATAAGAGCTGGTATGAGCACTCCAGGCTATGTAAAGGAACCCAACACTCAACATATTTTTTAAAACAAGACTTTGGTAGTTTATTTTTTTTACAAAAAGTTGAAACATTCTTAAGTCACCTTGCAGTTAAGCTTGTGTATGCCAAAGTTGACTCTCTTTGGTGTAGGTTCCTTTATTTAACGCTGGGTTGACACTCTGCTATTTATAGCAATAACTAGATGTGTTCTGGGTCTGAGGCAGAACACAGTATAAGTAACTGGCAAAGACTATCCTTTTCATTTTAAAACTTCAGCACCCATACACAATACAAAACTATTTTAGAGTATTATGTCAATTTTAGGTATATGTACTCACACACTTTATTTATAATTATCTATCCTGAAAATGTGCTACTTAAATAAAAATATCTGGGTATTTACACTAACATTCTAAAAACCTATTGTATAACATCCAAACCTTCTTTTCTTTATACCCACATATAAACCATTGATGTTCTCTGTTCAGGTCATTCCAAATTTCCAATCATTATGTAATAATCTTCTTATATTCCCCTCAATTCAGTATTTCATGAATTTTGGAGACCCTTTAAAACATCACCAGTGATTAATCCCAGCTTTAATGAGTATCCACGGAACAATTGTTTCTCATTACATGATTGTAGACTGAGTGCACACATCTCTTATTCCCTAAGCACAACAGATGTAGCTCTTTTGTGAAAAATATTCAAACATTACTTTCTTCAAAAGATCACCAAGCCAAATATTTGGCCATATTTTTATTTACTACATATACTATAAACATATACAATACATGCTACAAAAAAACATTTTTTTCAAAATCTTACTGTCAAGAAAGTGTATAGTGTTATAATACAATGGCACATGTTCATATTTTATTTCAAATTGGTTTGCTTGTCACCCATTTCAAACCATTAATAATGAAATGTTACTTAACGATAATTAAAAATTATCTATTTGCATTATTAACAATAAACAATTCCAACAAATTAATAAGAATGAATCATGTCAAATATTAGTATCCAAAAACTGGGCTTTTGCAGAAATGATTACATTATATAAAATATAGCAGCCAATTTCAGTTTACTTTGCTTTGTGACAATGTACATATGCAATTGAATAGGACTCTAGTATTTGTTTTTGGAAGATATTTTTAAGAAGTCCTTTGATTTCTTAAGGTCCAACAACTACCACATCCAGCCAAATCCAACCCAACAGTTCATATGAGAAATTCTTATGATTTGGGTAGAGGTGCATGTTCCACTAATATTCCATAAGATGAAAATAGACATTACAGGCCAATATCATAATGTCAAAGGCAAAAGAAAATACAAATATTCAAAGCAGTGTGACAAGGTTTCTCTACAAATATTTTAGATGTCATACTTTCAGAAAAACAAGATTTCATGTGTACTTATTTGAATTTTACAGTATCTGTGCTCTAACTAAAAATTTGACAGAGTAGTCAGGTGGAATTAAGTCTAGTATTGCAAATTTGTTCATTCAACATTGAGCACCCACTGTGTGCATAGCACTATGCTAGCATTTAAAAAGTCGAGTATTGATGTCTTTATCAAGCATTACCTTAGTGTGAGGTAAAAATACATTAAATTAGCGTCAATGCATTAGTTTACTTGTGGTAATGTATGTAATCCTGTGCCAGCTGGCTTCCCTGTGCCATATAATGAGCTTCTACATTCCTCTCATTCACTCACACAAACATCTGCACATCAATTGTGCCAGACATTGTGCTAGTCACTGGGATATCACGATTTGGTGCACGCCAAAAAATGCAAATTAATCATTACCTATGCAAAAGAATTAGAAAGATACATTTCTTTTCTAAAATGAGGCCCTAAGCTAAATATAAAATGTTTCTATTGGTTGTATCATACCATATACCAGTTAGTGCCTTCCTAGGCTGGAAGCTAGCTTTGAAAGTTTCATATTACAGTATATATAGCCTAGATCATTTTTGGTCTCAGAAATCTATTTTTTGGAGCACCTGACCCCATATAAACCATTCTGTACTTAAAAGGATTTGTAAACTAAACTTGAACATAAAGACCCAAAACTGAAGGCAGTTTATAATGTACTTCATGCACTATTCTGGTAATGTGAAATGAATAATACCTAAGTAATTCATGATTGGTTCAAACATTTTTCAAAGTGCTAACCCTATCCCCAAACTCATGTAATTTTAACTTGACTTATACAAGTTGCACATAAAGCAAAGGGCAGAATTTGGCCTCACAACCTTCTATGGAATACTCTAGTGATTGGTCCTTCCACTCCAAGTAGAAGCTAAGAATTCCAAAGAATCAGGAGAAATGTCCCTGCTGGATCCCATTAGTCAGGAGTCTATTTAGCTGCGATAGCAGTGTGAACCTACTATGACCCCTTGAGGAAAGGCAGAGAGCTGAGTTTGGCTGTCCACTCAGTGAACCCAATACTGGCTTAAAGCTATGCACTGAATAAAGTGCTCTGCACATCCTGCTTGTCATCTGGAATGAAAATAAACACTTTTCATGAGAATTAACCTATCTGCGGAAAAGGATGACAAGGGTTCAAAGAATCCCAAGAAAAAGTATGAAGTATTGACTTAGAAGGAAGAAAATGCCTTTAGTAGTGTCCTCAGAAATCTCAGGATTTGAACTGTCAGAATGAGTCATACAATGGCCATGTTCTATAAATGAAAAAGCAATCCCACTGGGTATAATTCACACAGTACATGATTACTTTCTGGGGGTGAAAGGGAACAGTCTATTGCCATTTGATAAGATGGTTTCAGAATGAAAAAAAAAAGTCATTGGATAAATCAGGGTAGGTAGTGTGCAACACTTCTCTCCTGTCCATCAGTTTTCCACAGGTTGACTTGCATTGCCTGAAGAAAGGAGGCAAGATACCCACCTATCCCTCTGATAGACTCAGGCATAGCAGCTACCACCTAAAATGTCCAATTCAGAAGTTAACACACAAATCCCTCCAGTTTTGTACCCTGAACGTGGTAAATGGAACTAGGGATGTAGTAGTTCAGTCTAAAAATGATCACAGGTAACAGAACACTTATATAAACTAGATTGTGTTTGACATCTGTAAAAAAAAAAATGTATAGATGGCAACTGAAAAGGAAAAAAAAAAAGGATTGTTCCCATCTGTCAGCAAAACTGTTGAGCTATACTCAGCTGAAGTCCTCATCAGGATTCTGTTGATCCAGCAGACGAACATGTGTGAATGGGAAGTGACCTCGTTTGCCATTACACTCCCCTTCCCACTGACCATTGACATTAATCTTCGTAACCTTTACCAGCTCACCGACCTGCAAGAGGAGAATAAGGAGAGCAATTTATTTCCAGTTATGAATGAAAGCTGAAACGCTAATCTCTATTAGGCATACCCTGCCCACGATTGCTCTAGGGCTGACATTACAGAAATGGCTATTTGCTGCCTCCCAAGCCCCAACCATCAGACTGATTACTTGTGGTTAATGCAGGCAGAAAGAAGTGATTTTAGCAGTGCAGAAAAACACACAGAAAATAGAAAGGATCCTAGAAAACAATACTTTTTGGAAATATCAAGTGTTGATGAGCAAGTCCAACTATAGTGACCTACTGTTCCTTTTCTTTGTATCCACTACCTTTAGCTTCCAGCCTGCCCACAAGCTCTGGCCTAGGAAAAGAAATCCATGTCCTCCCCTAACTTCCCACCCAGGCATATAGCAGCAGCACAATCTCCCAACCCACTATCATACACATATCCTGGCCTATTTACTACTTACAGAGCAGAGGGCAATCATAGGAAGCATACTTCACTTGGTTTCAGAAAATGAAATGTTCCCACCACTTTCCTACCAAGGCAAGGCTTTCCCCATTTGGGCAGATATCGGCCAAAATTCCAAATTCCATCAGCTCTCTGCAAAGCCCCCACCTTCTTCACCAACCTCACCCCTACCCCACCATATACTGACAGACTTCGTTGCTTTCTCAATGCCACTTGGTACCTGTTCATTAATAAGGGAACATTAAGAGGACATCTTGTTTTTGCTTCTGTTATAAAAAACTTTCTGTTGCAACATCAGATATAAAATTTTGCCTTAGCCACTTTGGCTCAGTGGATAGAATGTCGGCCTGCGAACTGAAAGGTCCCAGGTTCGATTCCAGTCAAGGGCACATGTCCGGGTTGTGGGCTCAATCCCCAGTGGGGGACTTGCAGGAGGCACCCAATCCATGATTCTCTCTCATCATGGATGTTTCTATCTCTCGCTCCCCCTCTTCCTTCCTCTCTGAAATAAAAATATATTAAAAAATAAAATAAAAAATAAAATTTTGACAATCAAGGATATACCGCTATTTTGCTATGAAACTAAGACAAGGTCAAAAAAAGAAAAAAAAAAAATGAAAAAGAAAAAAAGAACATAAGGTCAGTCTGACAAATAGATTCATCCTGTGGCGAAATAATAAACATTTTGTTTAATATTTGGAGGTAAGGCCCCAGATGTCATTAGACTAGAGAACTTATAACTATCTTTTGCCCTGGCCAGTGTGGCTCAATTGGTTGACCTTCATCCCATGCACCAAAAGGTTGCTGGTTCGATTCCCAGTAAGGGCACACGCTGGATTGCAGGCTCAATCCCCAGTACAGGGTGTGCAGGAGGCAACCGATGGATGTTCCACTCTTTTTTTAAAAAAATATATTTTATTGATTTTTTACAGAGAGGAAGGGAGGGAGAGTGTGTTAGAAACATCGATGAGAGAGAAACATCGATCAGCTGCCTCCTGCACACCTCCTACTGGGGATGTGCCCGCAACCAAGGTACATGCCCTTGATTGGAATCGAACCTGGACCCTTCAGTCCGCAGGCTGACGCTCTATCCACCGAGCCAAACCGGCTAGGGCTGGATGTTCCACTCTTATATTGATGTTTCTCTCTCTCTAAAAATCAATTTTTAAAAAAAAGAGCTTATAAGTATCTTTTATCAACATCTAAGTTCTGAGCATACAAGTGGTTTCTAAGCATAACTTTTCATTTGGTTTTACTAAGTTAATAACTACTATTCATTGAACGTTCATAAAGTACTGTAGAGAGTGTTTTATATTAATTATTTTCTAATCATCGTAATAACCCTAAAGGACAGGAACTGTTTTCTTATTAAGGTGAAAAAGACTAAGATTTACAAAAATCACACGATATACACCTTAGGTCAGCGGCGGACCACTGGTGGTCCATGAGGTCTAAAAGGTTGGCGACTGCTGCCTTAGGTCATACCGTCAGTGGCTGGGCTGGGATTTAAGCCCAGAAGTATCTGGCTCTAAAGCCAATTTATTCTCTTTTTACCATACCAGGAACTTTCTAATTATGCTGCCAGGGCCCCAGGGGTTGTCTAAGAATGTCTGTAGGCCAACTACAGGCAAAGCCAACTCAGGTCTAGGTCCAGGCCTTCTCTAGAACCAGCTTGAACTCACTCACAGAGGAAACAGCTTCCCTAATGGCCTGTCTGTAATTTCCTAAAGAACTATCTTGAAACCAGAGGCCTAAAGATGTTGCGTGAAAAGCAAAAAGAAACCAGGGAATATTAAAGATTATATTTGGGATAAGACAAAAAGGTGAGAAAAAGCAGCAGCTCAGTTTGCTGATACTGTAAAGATGAAGGCTAATGGTGTAAGGGGAGGAAAGGGAACACACTGCATGCCCATCCTTGCAAGCAGATCTGATCCCTATAGGCTGCCAGCACCAGGGTTCCGTTTACTCCCAGCAATCTTCCAATTCAACATTCCTGACATCTGAGCAGGACAACTATGACAAGTAAAGATTTTCTTACAGTCTTTGGGAAGAGGAAGGCCAGACATCAAGGGAAAATTTCCTTGCTAGTAAAATTAGTTTGAAAGGTTTCTTCCTTTATCCCCAATTCTAATTCTCAGACTTTATCTCACTTGTTCCCTTATTTTTAAAACTTTTGCAGTGTTGCAAGAAGCTAGGCAAATACAAAAAAGAAAAAGAAGCTAGGCACACAGCATCAGCTCCATAACATTTGACTATACCTTAGTGAATTTTCCTTGTGCTTGACCTGTCAGCAACCCTGACTCTCCACACTAAACACACACATGCACGCACACACAGCACGTCACTAAAATTAATGCCCTGTGCTGCTGGCCCCTTGCTACGTTAAAGTCAATTATAGCATGTGCAGCACTTCTTTCCTCCATTTTAAATTTTTATTTGTACTACCTGTCAAAACACTCATGTCATTCTAAGTGCTATTTTTGTAGTTGAACCCAGAATAATACAAGTCCACGACTTAAGAAAAATATTTGAGCCCTGGCTGGTGTGGCTCAGTTAGTTGGGTGTGGTTCTGTGCACCTAATGGTGGCTAGTTCGATTCCTGGTCAGAGCACCTGTCTGGCTTTTTGGTTGATTTTGTGTGTGTGTGTGTGTGTGTGTGTGTGTGTGTGTGTGTGTGTGTGTTCGTGCGCACAGGAGGCAGCCAATGTTTCTCTCTCACATCAATGTTTTTCTCTCTCCCTCTCCCTTCCTCGCTCTCTAAAAAGCAATAAAAATATTAAAAAGAAAAATATTTGAGGGGATGTGTGTTTATGTCAAAAATCTAAATGGGCCCTAGCTGGTTTGGCTCAGTGGATAGAGCGTCGGCCTGCGGACTGAAGGGTTCCAGGTTCGATTCCGACCAAGGGCACATGCCTGGGTTGCAGGCTCGATCCCCAGTAGGGGGTGTGCAGGAGGCAGCCGGTCAATGATTCTCTCTCATCACTGATGTTTCTATCTCTCTCTCCTTCTTCCTTCCTCTCTGAAATGAATAAAGAAATATATTTTAAAAAAAAAATCTAAATGGCACTCATGTTAGGTTCCCTTCCACATGGGGTCAAAGTGGCCAATTTCTTTTAAGAAGCTAGTTTGATGACATGCCAGCTAATATCCTTATCTTGTGTCATATCTGAATCCATCATTTTATTGATATTAAAGAACATACACAAGGGATATGAAGGAACATTCTGGAGTGCTGGAAAGCTTCTATACTTTCATCAGGTGATTATCAGTAGGTGCACATACATGTAAACCATGAGCTGTATACTTATGATTAGTACATTTTACCAAATGATTTCAAATCTAAATAAAAAGGTGTCAAGAAAAGGATGTCTGGCCCTAACCGGTTTGTCTCAGTGGATAGAGCGTCGGCCTGCGGACTCAAGGGTCCCAGGTTCGATTCCAGTCAAGGGCATGTACCTTGGTTGTGGGCATATCCCCAGTAGGGGGTGTGCAGGAGGCAGCTGATCGATGTTTCTCTCTCATTGGTGTTTCTAACTCTCTATCCCTCTCCCTTCCTCTCTGTAAAAAATCAATAAAATATATTTTTTTTAAAAAAGGGATGTCTGTTGTATTTCATCCAGCTTTTCTAGGTGTTTTGTAGAAGATGGTTCTTCAGAATACAACCTTAACCCCACCATTCTACTTGATACCAAAATCTAGGCTTTAATACCTCTCTTTTCTCTGTGTTATACTATCTTTATTTACTTATTTTTTTAAATTCTAAGCAAGATTAGCAGTATTTGATTTTTTAAAAATATGTTTTTATTGATCTTTAGAGAGAGGAAGGGAGAAAGATAGAGAGATAAAACATCAATGAGAGAGAAACATTGATAGGCTGCCTCCTGCACAACCCCCACTAGGCATTGAGCCTGCAACCCAGGCATGTGTCTTGATCAGGAATGAAACTGGTGACCTCTTGGTTCCTGGGTTGATGCTCAACCACTGAGCCCACCAACCAGGCATACTGTCTTAATTTTAGAAATTCAAAGTGCCATCTCAAATCACATCCCACAGAGCTCTAAGTAAAAGGTAGGTTGAAGTGTGGACGAGCCCAGTCCCTTGCTGCAGTACCACAGAACTACACTAGCTTCTTCACAAGCAAGGCAACAAAACTTGCTGATTTAAAGTTTTAAGCAGTCAACTGAGCTAATTAAGCTATCCATTGTGGCCTTGATGTATAAATACTTTGAGAAAGACGGTACTAAATTAAATAACCCTTTGTACCATATGGGGTCTTCCTCCTCAAACATTCAAAGCACATGGGGACTCCTGGAGTCAAAAACAATAAACCCCAAAGGCAATATGACTATCCACATGAGGCCCTAGTGCAGTGGTTCTCAACCTTCTGGCCCTTTAAATACAGTTCCTCATGTTGTGACCCAACCATAAAATTATTTTCGTTGCTACTTCATAACTGTAATGTTGCTACTGTTATGAATCGTAATGTAAATATCTGATATGCAGGATGGTCTTAGATGACCCCTGTGAAAGGGTCATTCG